AGAGCTGGGAAGGATCAGTAAACCCAATTTTTTTATTTTAAAGATGGAGAAACAGACATAGCATAAAAGGTCATCGATAAATCAATTTATTGAAGGTAGCCTTTTTGAAGCTGTTAAAATTTAATCATTATTTTCATTATCTTGTGGCCTTGATTGGAAATTCTTTTTCTTTCATGAAACTATATATTAGTCCTATGTTTAATCACTAAGGGAACATTTTCCAAGAGAATTTACTAATGAACATAATCTTCCTCAAGCTTAGAAAAAATTGCCAACCAAATGCCTCTTGGCCTGATTTATCCCTATAACGTTTCTCAGGTCAAGTTGCAAAAAATAGATTAGTGCTGCTGTATTTCTGACCATCTGAGATAAATTTGAATTGATGGTCATTTTCGACGAAATATCTCAAAAGTTTTGTTTTGGGGTTTTGTTTTTGTTTTAACTCTAAGATGTTTATAAATGAGAAGAGTCTAGGCTGAATCCCCAAAAATGATGTGATTCCCTGTGGTTTGCAAAGAAATTTTGTAGGCCCTCATTTCTTTTTCTTATTCTCTACATCCATCTAGGTTTTTAGGTTTGCTGATACAGAATACTCTGCTGTTTTAAGTGAAATTTATTGGCAAAATTTTCACCTCTTATATTCCCTCACCTAAATTAAACACATTAAAGAGAGAAACAGAAGAAAGCAAGCCCAGTCCCTCCAAACTAAATCTCAGAGCATTGAGAGTATCTTCCCCCTTCCTCTGGTCCTTCTGATCACACAAGTTCTAGTAGCCTCACTACTGTTGTTATAGGACAGTGATGTCACCAGGTAGGATTCTGATGTCACTCTCTAGTCCCAACAAGGGCGAGGTGCCGGAAGGCTGGGTGAGGAAGCAAAATCTTGAGCCGAGCAAACATCTTCATTGACTCTAAAAGGATACTCTGGAGTCTTCTGTGGTTCACGACTCCAGTGCTAGAGAGGTAGGAAATCCCACTGGACGGATGAAACAGCCCATTTTCTGACCTCTATGGTTAGAAGGGAGAATTCAGTGGCAAGCAATGGGCGACTTTTCATGTCGAATCCAGCTTTTTTCTTTATTGACCATAGGAAAACTTCACAGCTTCTAGGATATTAAACTGCAGAGCTGGAATATCTGAAGGAATATCGCCACTGATTCTGATACTTCCTTCTGAGCCTGTTTCATAATCTGTAAAATAAGGTTGTTAGGTAGACGGTTTCTAAGGTACATATGTCTTAACGATGTGTATACAGTCAACTTTCTTATCAAATCTAATAGAGAATGCAAAGCATCATTTTCTGTTTTGTTTTCCACCCTAACTCCAGGCTATTATTTGTCAACTTTTGAATGTACAATAAAGAAGTTTATGAATTCATTTGTTGACTTTATTAAACTCTTTAGGTTTTCTGTCTTTTCCACTTCATAATGCATACATTGATTTAGAAGTCTGAAGGTCATTCTCATCAAAAAGTATTTAAGTACTTCTTTGTAGATGCCAACCTGCCCGGCAATTTAGGGAGTTTTAAAAGTCTAAAGCGAGTTCATGGATGCAGATGAACAGAGGACATAGAAAATACAGTGAACACATGAGAACATATGTATGTGAAGTGTTTGCTGGCTATATAGTAAGTGCACTTTATGTTTGTGAAGAGAACAAGAGCATTTTGAGATGTGATTTATTTGTATGATTGGAATAAGAAGGTTTGTTAGGAAATCACTGGATAAGCCTCTGGGGTGAACTTAACCCCAGTAGGAATTGAGCTTCAAAAGGCCTGAATATACACATGACCACCCTAATAAATTTGAGCAAGAAATTTCTTTATTGTTCTCAGATCTCCAATTTAAATGAAAAAAAAAAATGAGCTATCTGGAATTAGAAATGGGCAGAATTTGTATATCCATTGTTTCAGCAGATAATTATTGAGCATCAACTTTAAGCTACTCTGAGGGATACCAAGATAAGAAAGCGAATGCTTCTGGCCTCACAAAGCCTCCTAATAAAGGAGATAAAATATATGGGAGTAAATAAACAGTAGATAGAATGTAGAGGTTGAAGCAAAATATGATGGAAACTAAGTGAGGAGACATCCACATTCAATTAGATATTTAGAAAATATTTCATGGATGTGGTAGCTTTTGACCTGGACAGTGGAGAAGGGTGAGATGTATAGAGACATTATTGTGGTACAGGATTGATAGTCTAGAAGAGAGTACAATGCTCTAATGTCTTCTGTTGAAATGTCTTAGTAGAGATAGTCCACAAAGGTTAATTAGTCTGGAAGACATTAACTGTGAACTCCTTTTATAACATGAGTATGTATATTTATCTCAAATCCTAAAATAAAAAAAAAAGTACAAAGTGTTTTGAGTTCCATTAATTCAGGACACTTACTTTCCATTCGAACTGTTTATCTTTTTTTTTGAAAGCAAGATTTTTTAAGAAGACGGAAAATCTCCCACAGTGGGAGGGGACTCGAGGGGGTTACCGACAACTGTTTATCTTTTAACTTGTTGTCCAAGCAAATTTGAGATTAACTTTTTAGTCTCACTACAGTTGTTAGAGACAATGGTGTCACCAGTTGTGATTTTGATGTCACTCTCTAGTCCCAACAAGGGGTGGAGTTTGGAAGGCTGGACGAGGAGACAAGATCTTGAGCTGAGCAAGGACGTCTAAGCATCTTCACTGACGTTAGAAGTATACTCTGAGCTGGGCTCGGTGGCTCAGCCTGTAATCCCACGCCTTTGGGAGGCTGAGGTGAGTGGATTGCCTG